AGCGGGGGGCCGCGCGCGGCTCCCTAAGGCGTCGCGACGAGGCAGCGGGGGCCGCGCGCAGCTCCCCACGGCGTCGCGACGAGGTAGCGGGGGGCCGCGCGCGGCTCCCCAAGGTGTCGCGACGAGACGTCGGGGGCGACGCGCGGGGCTGCGGGGCGACGCGGGGGGTCGACGGCGACGGGGGGAGGGCGCTTCGACGGTGGGAAACCGCCGCGCGCCTCGGGGCGCACGGCGTGCAGAAAACCGCCGCGCGCCCCGAGCGCACGGCGGGATGAAAACCGCCGAAACCCTAGAAAAAAAAATTCGCCGCGCGCGGCAGGAAGAAGTCGTCGCGCGCCCGAGGCGCCCGGCAGGAAGTACAGCAGCGGAAGCATTAGGTGGTGGGCCCACCCACAGGATCGACCCAGGAGGGTCGACCTGCTCTGATAGCATGTCGAGAAAATTAGGCAAAAAGAGAGAGGGTTGAACTAGCAAGAATGGGGATACAAATAGCAAACCCTAGAAGGGTTGTACTCGCTACAGAGCACCCCACTGCAGGCTAGACAAATATAACATTCTGACAGAAGAAACACTGCAAAGCTCCGGATTCCAGGTTGAAAGACAGCGAAGCGTCAGCCGGAGTAGCACCTGGACGAGTACCTAAACAAGCACCTACATTAGCAACGAGCAAACGGAGTCAGAAGCACTAGAGTCAACAAGAGCATATATAGCTTTTGCAGTTCCTAAGAGTTTAGGAAGTAACTGAGAAGTAGACATGTCACACAGCGCGGGTCCGTTTGAGAGAACAAAGGGAAGCAAGTCAGAGGCCGGGCCGTCTGCGCCGTATGCTGCGCAAATTCTGTCAGTTAGCCGAGCAAAGCACTGGCCCGGTGGGTGACGGCGGTCGCAGCAGAGGCCACTGCGAGTACCTGTTTGGATGAGGTAGGGGCGGGATGGGTGGGCGTCACCACACAACAGCTAACACGGTCCTGACCCGTGCCTCTGCTGCTGCTGCTGCTGCTGCTGTGGCTGCTGCTGCTGCTGAGCCAGGTACCAGGCCGCCACCCCATCACCGGCAACTGGCAGCCTTGCAGGTGCCCGACGAACCCGAGCATCACCTCCACCAAATGCAGCGGGGGAGCCACTAGAAGCTGCACGAGGCGCTCCACCAACACATGCACTCCCGCCACCGCCACTCGCCAGGTCACCTCCGCCACCTCCACTGCTGGCTGCACCCTGGCCGCCCCTCCTGCCACTCCTAACTATAGACCGGACAGAAATCGTGACAGCAGCCGCGGTCTCATCAGTAGCGGTAGTGGCGAGGGGGGTAGTGGAGGTGGGCAGCTGTGGGACAGTGCACCCGTGGAACACTGAGGGGGCCACAGCGCCAGAGGCAGAGGCTACCGAGCGGAGGTTGCTCTCGACGTCCTTGAGTGCAGCATCAAGGACGGCGTTGGTGAGCTCGCCAGGTTGCTTCAGCAAAAGCGTGTCGCGAACAGTGTCAAGGCGGTCAGGGAGGCTAGTGGCGATAAAATAAATAGTGATCGCCATAGGAAGGGGAAATAGTGCGAGTTGTGCGTCAGTACAGGCACCGCGATAGCTCAAAAGACGCAGGTGAGCGATCAAGTCAGCAGAGCGCTCAAACGAGGCGAGGTCAGGAAACAGGAACGGGAGGAACAGGCGACCAAGTGAGACAGTGGTGGGAGTGGAGTAGCGGGCCTTAATCGTAGTGAGGAACTCTCGAGCAGAGCGAACCTAAGTGAAGTGCGCCTCATCAGACTCAGGAAGGAGGCTGCTGAGGGCGATACGGGCCGCTGCGTCGCGAGACTTCCACGCTGTAATGGCAGCCCGCTCGCGGGGAAAGCGCTCCCTGTCTACAGCAGTGGGGCCAGCGCCTAGCGCATCTGGGGCAGGGGGCTCAGGGAGGTCACTGGAGGCCTGTGCCCAGAGGGTCTCGTCAGCCTGACATTGACTCTCTAGTAGGCGCTGCGCAGGAAGGTGCCAGACTGAAAACTCTAGTGGACTAGCCCCGGCATCGAAGCGGAGAAGACTGGGGGCCACCATAGCTGACTAACAAGGGGAGATGCGGCTGCCAACCGCCGAGATCGCCTAAGTAGGGCGGGCACGACTGGCCGCGTGCGGGCGTTTAGGGCATGACGCTGAGGGCGCGGATGGACGGGCCAGGCGCTAAGGGCGTAGACGGACGGACAGACAGGGCGCAGGGCGCAGGGTGCAGACGGACAGGCGCAGGGTGCGGACGGACGGGCGCAGGGCGCAAGGCGTGGATGGACGGGCGCAGGGACGGACGGACGGACAGACGGGCGGACGGGACGGACGGACGGACAGACGGGCGGACGGGACGGACGGACAGACGGACGGACGGGACGGACGGACGGGACGGACAAGCGGGATGGACCGGCGGACGGGCAGGGTGGACGGACGGATGGACGGGACGGACGGGCGCAAGTGGAGGGCGCAGGGGATGGGATGGACGGGACGGACGCGGACGGACGGGACGACGCGACGGGACGGGACAGGCGAGGGGCGACGCGACGGGACGGGCACGGCGCGAAGCGGCGGGCAGGGAGACGCGACGGAACAGGACAGGCAGGGCACGATGCAACGGGATGGGCAAGACGCAACGCGAGGGGCAGGGAGGCGCGACGGGCGCGAGGGGACAGGACGGGACGGGCGCAACGGTCGCTAGATGACGGGACGAGCGCGACGGGCGCCAGAGGATGGGACGGGCGGGACGGCTAGGCGCAACGAACGCGAGAGGCTCAAGAGAGAGGAAAGGAATCCAACAGGATCCCAACCTAGGTGATACCGTCATACCCCGGATATAAGCGCCACCCTCGGATAAGCGCCTGGCGCTTTTAATTGGCGCATGGCGCTTACCGTCATACCCCGGATATAAGCGCCACCCGCGGATAAGCGCCTGGCGCTTTTAATCGGCGCCCGGCGCTTATATCCGGTGCTCGATTATAAGCGCACCCCCCTGAAAAAACTTGTTTTATTATAAGCTCACGTAAACTTTAATTTTTGAATTGTGTTCGAAACACTGTAACGATTCCTACTTTAGCAGGGGAATGTGTTGCAGATTCGCTTCCCTTCACATTCGGACCCTGCACTGGGTGCGGGTCCAGTCAGCAGGAGCAGTCAGGGGCTGTCAGAAGCTGTCAGAAGCTGTCAGGAGCTGTCAGAGTGGGTGTATCTCCAGCGCGCGCGAGAAGTTTCACAGAACTTCGACTCGATTGGAAAAGGCAAGCACGAGATCTACAGCTTGGTGTTAAAAAATATATCAATTATAGATGTCGTTTTATAAACGCCGGCGCTTATAAATTTACCTGATTATAAGCCCACCCCCCCTAAAAAAACATGTTTTATTATTGCCCCCCATGGGGGTATATCCGGGGTATGACGGTATATCCGCTGCTAGATTATAAGCGCACCCCCTGAAAAAACTTGTTTTATTATAAGCGCACGTAAACTTTAAATTTTGAAATGTGTTCGAAACACTGTAACGATATTTACTTTAGCAGGGGGATGTGTTGCAGATTCACTTCCCTTCACATTCGGACCATGCACTAGATGCGGGTCCAGTCAGCAGGAGCAGTCAGGAGCTGTCAGAAGCTGTCAGAAGCTGTCAGGAGCTGTCAGAGTGGGTGTATCTCCAGCGCGCGCAAGAATTTCACAGACGACCCCATGTAACTTCGACTCGATTGAAAAAGGCAAGCACGAGATCTACAGCTTGGTGTTAAAAAATATATAAAATATATATGTCGTTTTATAAACGCCGGCGCTTATAAATTTACTCGATTATAAGCCCACCCCCCTAAAAAAACCTGTTTTATTATTGCCCCCCATGGGGGTATATCCGGGGTATGACGGTACCTTGTCAGAAACGGAATGATCTGTGTATTACTATGAGTTGGGGTACATAAACCTAACCCTAACAACTGTACCCCACATGACACGCCTCACTACAGGATACAACATTTGACAAAACAAATTTAAAGCCCGCGTCCCAAATTGCGGAGCGTGAGAGTCAAGTTTTTAAAACTTGACGAAGTGGAGTGTCCAAGCTTTTGAAAGTCACGCACCTGCAATTTGGGACTTTCGAAGACAGACCCACTCACCAGGGGGAAAAACGAGGGTTGGCTGAGTCTCGCGGAAAAAACGAACCTAGACGAAATTGGAAACTCTCGCCAAAGCCCACGCCAGAAAAACTCCCTCGAGTCATCTTTTAAAAGCATGAACAATTTGGGCTGCCGGCTTTAAATGGTACCAAAACTTGATGTACGTGGAAACAAAGCTAGTGATGGGTAATCCAAAAGATTAGCCTTAGCAATGTTAGTCTAGCAAGAATTGAGATGACATCATCCCTGCAAGAAGCAGACACGTATCTTAGATAATACACCACGGTGTATGTTCGACCATGATACTGTCTTGTTTTATGGTCTCATATTTGGCTAGGGATTCCAAGGATCAAATACAGCTTATGGACGGTATCCTATGCATGCATGCATGCATGCATGCCCATGCTAGGCCTTGGTGTTGGCGGACGACCGGCGTGGCAGATTCCACGTGCTGACAGCCTTATCCATTCCCTCTGCTGCCACCAACCGGACTGCATCAACCGCCCTCTCTATAGCCACATCCACCTGTGTCACGGGTCACAGACCACAAATGGGTTTGCATAAAAAGGAAACCGTCTCATATTATGAAATAGGCAGGTTACTTTCAACTGGTATCACAGCTTCCTGTTATCTCTCAGAAAACCATACATTTCAAAACTGCAAATTTCCAGAGTCTCACCTCCTCCCTCCTTCATGAGGTGCCATTTGAGTCGACTCAAAACTCATACACATGCACACATTCTCACTAACTTGCCTCCTCCCTCCCTCTCCCTGTGCGAGATTCACTGCAGCACATACACTTTGGGGTCTGTTTTTTTATAAGCCGGAAGACAAAGAAGAAACGCTTCAACGCTCGACGCACACACCACCTTCTCCTCTCACCTCTTCTCTCTCCCTATCTGAAAACTTTTGCAGCACATACACCTTGGCCTCCATGCGTCCTGGTGGCCTCCCAATGCCTGCATGCAAACCACATGGAGGGATCAACTCAATCTAGAATCTCTCCGACTGCCAACCGCTGCAGCACATACACCTTGGCCTGGCCTCCATCCGTCCTGGCGACCTCCGGGTGCCAGCATGCACTGATGACATCAGCATGACGTCACCATGCCATCACACAAACATGTTGCACATTATAAACGTTTGACAACCAGTTAAGGAGTGGAAAGCTGTAGGCACTTAGTTAAATCAGTAGGTAGCCATAGCTAAATACGTGCCCACAGCAGGTCACGTGACAACAGCAGGTCAGCATGGCAACAGCAGGTCAGCATGGCAACAGAGCAGCAACTGACCAAATCTGATTCCTCCACTGACAAAATAAAAATTGTTACTGACAGAATCAGTTTTGCCACTGACCAAATCTCAGACGTGGAAAGTTTCTAGAGCCCTGAAAGTGCTGCATTATGCTCTTCATGCTGGGAAGGGGGATGTGGCATTGGGTAGTGGGGCATGGATGGGTGAGGAAATGGGGCACGGGGCAATCATGAGGGAGTGAAGCATGGGAAGATGGGGCATGGCGAGTTGGAAATGGTCAGAGGGACGATGAAACGAGAATTCATGGAAACAGGTAGGTGGGAGTATGCTTGTTGATAAAAGGAGACTTCATTCTTGAAAAGTCTCAAAAGTGACACGTGGGTGGGAGTACGCGTGAGACGTCCACAAGCGAAAGGAAAGGGCATTATTGAAATTTCTCTCTTATGGCATTGTGAGGATGGGGAGAGATGTCACGGAGAAGGCATCATGGAATGATGGTGATGTTGATGGTGATGTTGATGGCGACGAGACGATAAAAACAACGAGAACTGGAAGGCAGGCAAATGGTTACTGCTCTCTATCCTTTCAGTGATGCAGGTGGAGAAAGGCTTGGAGACGTCATTTTCAAAACACTATCAACAAAAGGGGCGGGCCTTTTCAGTAAACGCCACTTATTTGGAGACGTCACCAAAAGGGGCGGGCCGAGGTACAAATTGCACGAGTGGAGTGAGTGCTCTCATCCTTTCAGTGGCACCTCTCACAACGGCTGACCTCCTCCTCACAACGAGTGTCCTCCTTCCTTCTCCTGCCTGAACTCACCCGTTGTGTCCCCCATGCCCCCCTTTGGCAAGAAGCTTCATGGAAGCTACGTCCAGGTCCATGTCATCGTAGATCTGAGTGAAGGGATAGTAAAAATGCTCGCTTTTTTAAAAAGCCCAGATCCGTCCATGTCCTTAAGGCGACTTTTGAGACGTCTCAAAAGTGACGGGATGGCAGAAATGCTCGCTCTATTAACGAGTTCAGATCCATCCATGACCTTAAGGACTTATGAGTTTCCGGTCGACTACTTTCCGGGTGGTGGTGGGAATGGTGATGGAAGGGAAATCATCATAGAGCAGGTAGGGTAAATGGGTCGAAGATGGCTTGGCATGGTATGGCATGGAATGCCAGGGTACGGCATTGAATGGCATGGAATGGCATGGAATGGTATGGCACAAAAGTGAAGTGCATGGCATTGCAGGGCACAACAGGGCAGCCTGTAAAATAGAATGGCCCTGACTTACAGCCGTGACTTACAGCTATGACTTACAGCTATGACTCGCTCGGGTGGAATCTTGTAGAATTGAGCCAAGGGACCCACCTGCAATGTGGTGCGGTGGTGTGGGGTGCAGTGGTGTGGGGTGCAGTGGTGTGGGGTGCGGTGGTATGGGGTGTAGTGATATGGGGTGTTGTGGTATGGAGTGTCGCTCAGGTTCATGAGCGTTTGAGGATTCACCAACAGCACTTTGATTTTCTCTTATAATCCTCTGGCCTCATCCCTTTTTCCTTCCCTCCCCACCCCTTCACCCGCACCTTCTCTCCATCCATCATAGCCACTCACTCTCTCCCCACTTAGGTTCATGAACGTCTGGGGCTTCACCAGCAGCACTTCGAGTCTTACCATTCTCTCCCCTGTCCCCCCACCCCCCATTCGTCTTCCCTCTTTTCCCACTCACTCTCCCCATCATAGCCACTCACGCTTTACCCGCTCAGGTTCATGAACGTCTGCAACTTCACCAGCAACATTGAAGCCCCACCACCCGGTCTCTTCTTGTCCACTCACGCTCTCCCCGCTCAGGTTCATTAACGCCTGGCTGGGCCTTCACCAGCAGCACTTTGCGGCCCCACTATCGATCAGGTATCATCAAAACCCCCACCACCTTCCCAACCACCCCCCTTATCACTGACGCTCTCCCCATTGAGGTTCTTGAACGTCTGGAACTTCACCAGCAGCACAAGGCACCCGGCAATGCGTCCCTTGCCCACCACTGCCCTGCTCTGCATGGCACTGAGGGATATGCTGGTAACTATCGCCCTCGTACCCCCTGCCCTCTCATCCCCACCCCCCACCATTCACACTCTCCCCACTGAGGTGCATGAAAGCCTGTGAATTCACCAGCAGCACTTTGAGATTCCACTGAGCAGGTACCATCAAACCGCCCTACTTACCACCCCCTTTTTCACTCACGCTCTCCCCACTGAGGTTCATGAACGTCTGTGGCTTCACCAGCAGCACAGGGCACGCAGCGATGCGCCCCTTGCCCACCACTGCTTTGCACTGCATAGCTCTCAGGCTTATACCCTCCGCTCTGGCTACGGCGTCTATCACCTCGAAGCCCACCTGGTGGAATGGGAGGCAGGCAGGAGAGGGAGGGGGACTGGAGGAGGGGTAAGGGAAGAAGGAGGTGAGGGGAATGAAATGCGTCCCTTGCCCACCACTGGTTTACTCTGCATGGCTCTCAAGCTTATACCCTCCGCCCTGGCTATGGCGTCAATAACCTCGAAGCCCACCTGGTGGGATGGGAGGCAGGAAAGGGCCGAGAGGGGATGGGCTGTAGGCAGTGGACGAGGAGAAGGATAGCGGGATGCGGTGGAGAGAGGCACCCCCTTGCCCACCACTGCCCTGCTCTTTTGAGGCACCTCAAAAGTCATCTCTTCTCCCGCAATTTTTGAGGCGCCTCAAGAGACGTCTCTTTTCCCGCAATTTTTCAGGCGCCTCAGAAGTCGTCTCTTATCCCGCAATTTTTTAGGCGCCTCAAAAGCTGAGCAGAGAGGCACCCCCTTGCCCACCATCGCCCTGCTCTGCATGGCGCTCAGGCTTATACCCTCCGCTCTGGCTGTGACGTCCATCACCTCGAAAGCCACCTGGTGGGGAGATGAGAAAGAGAGAGGGGGAAACGGGAGAAAGAGGTCAGCAGCACTGGGATACGCAATGTGCCCCTTGCCCTCGAAGAGGAGAGGGATAGGGGGAGGAAGAGGAGGGGTGGGGAAGAGCATGGGGAGGAGATAGACTGAAAACCTACCTGGTGAGAAGGGCACAGGAGAGAGAAAAGTGTTTGTGGGGAAGGGGGAAGGATGAGTCTTGAAGCTTATCTGGTGGGGGCGGCAGAACAAGGCGGCAGGGGGTGGAAGCGCAAAGGAAGAGCGGATAGAGTGTAAGTGGGAGAATGACCTTTGAGTCGACTCAAAACTCAAAAGGGCAGAGGAGGAGCAAATCGAATCGAGTGCATGTGGGAAGCTGAGGAAAACGCGCTCCCTGCTGATGCGATTGTTGGACTTTGGCCGAGAATGTTGCAGCGGGCGGACAGAGAGTCGGCATGTTGTGAGTGGGCTGGTCACACTTACCACACCCCACAACCCTAAACCTCGAACCCCAAACCTTGAATCCCAAACTCTGAACGTTCATGTGCTCCGTTACCCCCTTTCACTTCCCTTCCCCTACCCCTTATTTTGTCAACATAAAGACATGTTTTCGAGCCGCCACAACAACGATTCTAAGATCTGAAATCTGAGGCACCCCTTTCCCCCTCCTCCCCTCCCACGCCCCGTCCCCCCTCTTAGATAGCACAAATACGAAATCTGAGGTACACCTTTCCCCCTCCTCCCCTCCCAGCCCCCGTCCCCCCCTCTCCCCCTTTCAAAATCGGGTTCTTATATCTCTCACAGGCCAGTCCCATGCGCACCCAACGGCTACGTACATTGTGCCGCGTGCCCTCGTATTTCATCCCCGGATTGCCCAGCCCCACCAGCATCCACGGCCCACCACGCCCCGCATCCCCCTTGCTCTGAGCGCCTGGCGCCCCCGCGGTCTCCCCCGCCGCCTCCCCCGCGGCGCTGGTCGAGACGGCTCTACGTTTGCTGACGCGGAAGGTCGACGCGCCGTCTGATGTGGATCGGTTTATGAATGACGTGGACCGCTTCATGATTTGCTACACAGCGCAAAGAAACGGCAAAAATACACATCAAAGTCAGCTCACCTGCCTGCCCTCATCCCACAGCATTGTCTCACCTGCCTGCCCTCATCCCACAGCCTCGTCTCACCTGCCTGCCCCCATCCCACAGCCTCGTCTCACCTGCCTGCCTGCCCTCATCCCACAGCCTCGTCTCACCTGCCTGCCCTCATCCCACAGCCTCGTCTCACCTGCCTGCCCTCATCCCACAGCCTCGTCTCACCTTCCTGCCCTCATCCCACAGCCTCGTCTCACCTGCCTGCCCTCATCCCACAGCCTCGTCTCACCTGCCTGCCCTCATCCCACAGCCTCGTCTCACCTGCCTGCCTGCCCTCATCCCACAGCCTCGTCTCACCTGCCTGCCCTCATACCACAGCCTCGTCTCACCTGCCTGCCCTCATCCCACAGCCTCGTCTCACCTGCCTGCCCTCATCCCACAGCCTCGTCTCACCTGCCTGCCCTCATCCCACAGCCTCGCCTCACCTGCCTGCCCTCATCCCACAGCCTCGTCTCACCTGCCTGCCCTCATACCACAGCCTCGTCTCACCTGCCTGCCCTCATCCCACAGCCTCGCCTCACCTGCCTGCCCTCATCCCACAGCCTCGTCTCACCTGCCTGTCCTCATCCCACAGCCTCGTCTCACCTGCCTGCCCTCATCCCACAGCCTCGTCTCACCTGCCTGCCCTCATCCCACAGCCTCGTCTCACCTGCCTGCCCTCATCCCACAGCCTCGTCTCACCTGCCTGCCCTCATCCCACAGCCTCGTCTCACCTGCCTGCCCTCATCCCACAGCCTCGTCTCACCTGCCTGCCCTCATCCCACAGCCTCGTCTCACCTGCCTGCCCTCATCCCACAGCCTCGTCTCACCTGCCTGCCCTCATCCCACAGCCTCGTCTCACCTGTCTGCCCTCATCCCACAGCCTCGTCTCACCTGCCTGCCCTCATCCCACAGCCTCGTCTCACCTGCCTGCCCTCATCCCACAGCCTCGTCTCACCTGCCTGCCCTCATCCCACAGCCTCGTCTCACCTGCCTGCCCTCATCCCACAGCCTCGTCTCACCTGCCTGCCCTCATCCAACAGCCTCGTCTCACCTGCCTGCCCTCATCCCACAGCCTCGTCTCACCTGCCTGCCCTCATCCCACAGCCTCGTCTCACCTGCCTGCCCTCATCCCACAGCCTCGTCTCACCTGCCTGCCCTCATCCCACAGCCTCGTCTCACCTGCCTGCCCTCATCCCACAGCCTCGTCTCACCTGCCTGCCCTCATCCCACAGCCTCGTCTCACCTGCCTGCCCTCATCCCACAGCCTCGTCTCACCTGCCTGCCCTCATCCCACAGCCTCGTCTCACCTTCCTGCCCTCATCCCACAGCCTCGTCTCACCTGCCTGCCCTCATCCCACAGCCTCGTCTCACCTGCCTGCCCTCATCCCACAGCCTCGTCTCACCTGCCTGCCTGCCCTCATCCCACAGCCTCGTCTCACCTGCCTGCCCTCATCCCACAGCCTCGTCTCACCTGCCTGCCCTCATCCCACAGCCTCGTCTCACCTGCCTGCCCTCATCCCACAGCCTCGTCTCACCTGCCTGCCCTCATCCCACAGCCTCGTCTCACCTGCCTGCCCTCATCCCACAGCCTCGCCTCACCTGCCTGCCCTCATCCCACAGCCTCGTCTCACCTGCCTGCCCTCATACCACAGCCTCGTCTCACCTGCCTGCCCTCATCCCACAGCCTCGTCTCACCTGTCTGCCCTCATCCCACAGCCTCGTCTCACCTGCCTGCCCTCATCCCACAGCCTCGTCTCACCTGCCTGCCCTCATCCCACAGCCTCGTCTCACCTGCCTGCCCTCATCCCACAGCCTCGTCTCACCTGCCTGCCCTCATCCCACAGCCTCGTCTCACCTGCCTGCCCTCATCCAACAGCCTCGTCTCACCTGCCTGCCCTCATCCCACAGCCTCGTCTCACCTGCCTGCCCTCATCCCACAGCCTCGTCTCACCTGCCTGCCCTCATCCCACAGCCTCGTCTCACCTGCCTGCCCTCATCCCACAGCCTCGTCTCACCTGCCTGCCCTCATCCCACAGCCTCGTCTCACCTGCCTGCCCTCATCCCACAGCCTCGTCTCATCTGCCTGCCCTCATCCCACAGCCTCGTCTCACCTTCCTGCCCTCATCCCACAGCCTCGTCTCACCTGCCTGCCCTCATCCCACAGCCTCGTCTCACCTGCCTGCCCTCATCCCACAGCCTCGTCTCACCTGCCTGCCCTCATCCCACAGCCTCGTCTCACCTGCCTGCCCTCATCCCACAGCCTCGTCTCACCTGCCTGCCCTCATCCCACAGCCTCGTCTCACCTGCCTGCCCTCATCCCACATCCTCGTCTCACCTGCCTGCCCTCATCCCACAGCCTCGTCTCACCTGCCTGCCCTCATCCCACAGCCTCGTCTCACCTGCCTGCCCTCATCCCACAGCCTCGTCTCACCTGCCTGCCCTCATCCCACAGCCTCGTCTCACCTGCCTGCCCTCATCCCACAGCCTCGTCTCACCTGTCTGCCCTCATCCCACAGCCTCGTCTCACCTGCCTGCCCTCATCCCACAGCATTGTCTCACCTGCCTGCCCTCATCCCACAGCCTCGTCTCACCTGCCTGCCCTCATCCCACAGCCTCGTCTCACCTGCCTGCCCTCATCCCACAGCCTCGTCTCACCTGCCTGCCCTCATCCCACAGCCTCGTCTCACCTGCCTGCCCTCATCCCAAAGCCTCGTCTCACCTTCCTGCCCTCATCCCACAGCCTCGTCTCACCTGCCTGCCCTCATCCCACAGCCTCGTCTCACCTGCCTGCCCTCATCCCACAGCCTCGTCTCACCTGCCTGCCTGCCCTCATCCCACAGCCTCGTCTCACCTGCCTGCCCTCATCCCACAGCCTCGTCTCACCTGCCTGCCCTCATCCCACAGCCTCGTCTCACCTGCCTGCCCTCATCCCACAGCCTCGTCTCACCTGCCTGCCCTCATCCCACAGCCTCGTCTCACCTGCCTGCCCTCATCCCACATCCTCGTCTCACCTGCCTGCCCTCATCCCACAGCCTCGTCTCACCTGCCTGCCCTCATCCCACAGCCTCGTCTCACCTGCCTGCCCTCATCCCACAGCCTCGTCTCACCTGCCTGCCCTCATCCCACAGCCTCGTCTCACCTGCCTGCCCTCATCCCACAGCCTCGTCTCACCTGTCTGCCCTCATCCCACAGCCTCGTCTCACCTGCCTGCCCTCATCCCACAGCATTGTCTCACCTGCCTGCCCTCATCCCACAGCCTCGTCTCACCTGCCTGCCCTCATACCACAGCCTCGTCTCACCTGCCTGCCCTCATCCCACAGCCTCGTCTCACCTGCCTGCCCTCATCCCACAGCCTCGTCTCACCTGCCTGCCCTCATCCCACAGCCTCGTCTCACCTGCCTACCCTCATCCCACAGCCTCGTCTCACCTGCCTGCCCTCATCCCACAGCCTCGTCTCACCTGCCCGCCCTCATCCCACAGCCTCGTCTCACCTGCCTGCCCTCATACCACAGCCTCGTCTCACCTGCCTGCTCTCATCCCACAGCCTCGTCTCACCTGCCTGCCCTCATCCCACAGCCTCGTCTCACCTGCCTGCCCTCATCCCACAGCCTCATCTCACCTGCCTGCCCTCATCCCACAGCCTCGTCTCACCTGCCTGCCCTCATCCCACAGCCTCGTCTCACCTGCCTGCCTGCCCTCATCCCACAGCCTCGTCTCACCTGCCTGCCCTCATCCCACAGCCTCGTCTCACCTGCCTGCCCTCATCACACAGCCTCGTCTCACCTGCCTGCCCTCATCCCACAGCCTCGCCTCACCTGCCTGCCCTCATCCCACAGCCTCGTCTCACCTGCCTGCCCTCATCCCACAGCCTCGTCTCACCTGCCTGCCCTCATCCCACAGCCTCGTCTCACCTGTCTGCCCTCATCCCACAGCCTCGTCTCACCTGCCTGCCCTCATCCCACAGCCTCGCCTCACCTGCCTGCCCTCATCCCACAGCCTCGTCTCACCTGCCTGCCCTCATACCACAGCCTCGTCTCACCTGCCTGCCCTCATCCCACAGCCTCGCCTCACCTGCCTGCCCTCATCCCACAGCCTCGTCTCACCTGCCTGCCCTCATCCCACAGCCTCGTCTCACCTGCCTGCCCTCATCCCACAGCCTCGTCTCACCTGCCTGCCCTCATCCCACAGCCTCGTCTCACCTGCCTGCCCTCATCCCACAGCCTCGTCTCACCTGCCTGCCCTCATCCCACAGCCTCGTCTCACCTGCCTGCCCTCATCCCACAGCCTCGTCTCACCTGCCTGCCCTCATCCCACAGCCTCGTCTCACCTGCCTGCCCTCATCCCACAGCCTCGTCTCACCTGCCTGCCCTCATCCCACAGCCTCGTCTCACCTGTCTGCCCTCATCCCACAGCCTCGTCTCACCTGCCTGCCCTCATCCCACAGCCTCGTCTCACCTGCCTGCCCTCATCCCACAGCCTCGTCTCACCTGCCTGCCCTCATCCCACAGCCTCGTCTCACCTGCCTGCCCTCATCCCACAGCCTCGTCTCACCTGCCTGCCCTCATCCAACAGCCTCGTCTCACCTGCCTGCCCTCATCCCACAGCCTCGTCTCACCTGCCTGCCCTCATCCCACAGCCTCGTCTCACCTGCCTGCCCTCATCCCACAGCCTCGTCTCACCTGCCTGCCCTCATCCCACAGCCTCGTCTCACCTGCCTGCCCTCATCCCACAGCCTCGTCTCACCTGCCTGCCCTCATCCCACAGCCTCGTCTCACCTGCCTGCCCTCATCCCACAGCCTCGTCTCACCTGCCTGCCCTCATCCCACAGCCTCGTCTCACCTGCCTGCCCTCATCCCACAGCCTCGTCTCACCTGCCTGCCCTCATCCCACAGCCTCGTCTCACCTGCCTGCCCTCATCCCACAGCCTCGTCTCACCTGCCTGCCCTCATCCCACAGCCTCGTCTCACCTGCCTGCCCTCATCCCACAGCCTCGTCTCACCTGCCTGCCCTCATCCCACAGCCTCGTCTCACCTGCCTGCCCTCATCCCACAGCCTCGTCTCACCTGTCTGCCCTCATCCCACAGCCTCGTCTCACCTGCCTGCCCTCATCCAACAGCCTCGTCTCACCTGCCTGCCCTCATCCCACAGCCTCGTCTCACCTGCCTGCCCTCATCCCACAGCCTCGTCTCACCTGCCTGCCCTCATCCCACAGCCTCGTCTCACCTGCCTGCCCTCATCCCACAGCCTCGTCTCACCTGCCTGCCCTCATCCCACAGCCTCGTCTCACCTGCCTGCCCTCATCCCACAGCCTCGTCTCACCTGCCTGCCCTCATCCCACAGCCTCGTCTCACCTGCCTGCCCTCATCCCACAGCCTTGTCTCCTGCACGATGTGCTTCGCCTTGCCGTCCCTGAGCAGCTGTGACTGCCGTGCGATCTCGTAGTCAATGGCGCGCTGCATCTCGCATAACGAGTTCATGTTCTTCACCTCCACCTGCCATCAAGTTCAACAACGGCAACGGGCTACTGGGGCTGAATGAACGCATGGGCTAATGGGGCTGAATGAACGCATGGGCTATAGGGGCTGAATGAACGCATGGGCTAATGGGGCTGAATGAACGCATGGGCTAATGGGGCTGAATGAACGCATGGGCTAATGGGGCTGAATGAACGCATGGGCCAATGGGGGTGAATGAACGCATGGGCTAATGGGGCTGAATGAACGCATGGGCTAATGGGGCTGAATGAACGCATGGGCTATAGGGGCTGAATGAACGCATGGGCTAATGGGGCTGAATGAACGCATGGGCTAATGGGGCTGAATGAACGCATGGGGGCTGAATGAACGCATGGGCTAATGGGGCTGAATGAACGCATGGGCTAATGGGGCTGAATGAACGCATGGGCCAATGGGGGTGAATGAACGCATGGGCTAATGGGGCTGAATGAACGCATGGGCTAATGGGGCTGAATGAACGCATGGGCTATAGGGGCTGAATGAACGCATGGGCTAATGGGGCTGAATGAACGCATGGGCTAATGGGGCTGAATGAACGCATGGGGGCTGAATGAACGCATGGGCTAATGGGGCTGAATGAACGCATGGGCTAATGGGGCTGAATGAACGCATGGGCCAATGGGGGTGAATGAACGCATGGGCTAATGGGGCTGAATGAACGCATGGGCTAATGGGGCTGAATGAACGCATGGGCTAATTGGGCTGAATGAACGCATGGGCTAATGGGGCTGAATGAACGCATGGGCTAATGGGGCTGAATGAACGCATGGGCTAATGGGGCTGAATGAACGCATGGGCTAATGGGGCTGAATGAACGCATGGGCTAATGGGGCTGAATGAACGCATGGGCTAATGGGGCTGAATGAACGCATGGGCCAATGGGGGTGAATGAACGCATGGGCTAATGGGGCTGAATGAACGCATGGGCTAATGGGGCTGAATGAACGCATGGGCTATAGGGGCTGAATGAACGCATGGGCTAATGGGGCTGAATGAACGCATGGGCTAATGGGGCTGAATGAACGCATGGGGGCTGAATGAACGCATGGGCTAATGGGGCTGAATGAACGCATGGGCTAATGGGGCTGAATGAACGCATGGGCCAATGGGGGTGAATGAACGCATGGGCTAATGGGGCTGAATGAACGCATGGGCTAATGGGGCTGAATGAACGCATGGGCTAATTGGGCTGAATGAACGCATGGGCTAATGGGGCTGAATGAACGCATGGGCTAATGGGGCTGAATGAACGCATGGGCTAATGGGGCTGAATGAACGCATGGGCTAATGGGGCTGAATGAACGCATGGGCTAATGGGGCGGAATGAACGCATGGGCCAATGGGGGTGAATGAACGCATGGGCTAATGGAGCTGAATGAACGCATGGGCCAGGGTTCAAAAAAACGACCGTTTTATTGAAATTTTACCGTAAAAAACGGTACCGTAAAAAACGGTCGTAAAAAACGGTTTAAAACGGTTCCAGGAGGTGTTTCCTCTATAACTAACAAAACGGCCACTTAGTGGGACCAAATTGAACCCGAAATGCAGCAGCATGAAGGGGATGGAACCCTTCTTGCATGTATGCGCTTGTTTGCATGATTGAAAATGTTTTTGCCCTTGTTTTCCTCTTTTTTTTCTTGGTGAACAGAGTTCTCTAACAAAAAAACGGCCGTTTTTTTTTTTAAATCACCGTAAAAAATGCCGAAAAATACGGACCGTATTTTACGAAAACCGTAATTTTGAACCTTGGCATGGGCTAATGGGGCTGAATGAACGCATGGGCTAATGGGGCTGAATGAACGCATGGGCTAATGGGGCTGAATGAACGCATGGGCCAATGGGGGTGAATGAACGCATGGGCTAATGGGGCTGAATGAACGCATGGGCTAATGGGGCTGAATGAACGCATGGGCTATAGGGGCTGAATGAACGCATGGGCTAATGGGGCTGAATGAACGCATGGGCTAATGGGGCTGAATGAACGCATGGGGGCTGAATGAACGCATGGGCTAATGGGGCTGAATGAACGCATGGGCTAATGGGGCTGAATGAACGCATGGGCCAATGGGGGTGAATGAACGCATGGGCTAATGGGGCTGAATGAACGCATGGGCTAATGGGGCTGAATGAACGCATGGGCTATAGGGGCTGAATGAACGCATGGGCTAATGGGGCTGAATGAACGCATGGGCTAATGGGGCTGAATGAACGCATGGGGGCTGAATGAACGCATGGGCTAATGGGGCTGAATGAACGCATGGGCTAATGGGGCTGAATGAACGCATGGGCCAATGGGGGTGAATGAACGCATGGGCTAATGGGGCTGAATGAACGCATGGGCTAATGGGGCTGAATGAACGCATGGGCTAATTGGGCTGAATGAACGCATGGGCTAATGGGGCTGAATGAACGCATGGGCTAATGGGGCTGAATGAACGCATGGGCTAATGGGGCTGAATGAACGCATGGGCTAATGGGGCTGAATGAACGCATGGGCTAATGGGGCTGAATGAACGCATGGGCTAATGGGGCTGAATGAACGCATGGGCCAATGGGGGTGAATGAACGCATGGGCTAATGGGGCTGAATGAACGCATGGGCTAATGGGGCTGAATGAACGCATGGGCTATAGGGGCTGAATGAACGCATGGGCTAATGGGGCTGAATGAACGCATGGGCTAATGGGGCTGAATGAACGCATGGGGGCTGAATGAACGCATGGGCTAATGGGGCTGAATGAACGCATGGGCTAATGGGGCTGAATGAACGCATGGGCCAATGGGGGTGAATGAACGCATGGGCTAATGGGGCTGAATGAACGCATGGGCTAATGGGGCTGAATGAACGCATGGGCTAATTGGGCTGAATGAACGCATGGGCTAATGGGGCTGAATGAACGCATGGGCTAATGGGGCTGAATGAACGCATGGGCTAATGGGGCTGAATGAACGCATGGGCTAATGGGGCTGAATGAACGCATGGGCTAATGGGGCGGAATGAACGCATGGGCCAATGGGGGTGAATGAACGCATGGGCTAATGGAGCTGAATGAACGCATGGGCCAGGGTTCAAAAAAACGACCGTTTTATTGAAATTTTACCGTAAAAAACGGTACCGTAAAAAACGGTCGTAAAAAACGGTTTAAAACGGTTCCAGGAGGTGTTTCCTCTATAACTAACAAAACGGCCACTTAGTGGGACCAAATTGAACCCGAAATGCAGCAGCATGAAGGGGATGGAACCCTTCTTGCATGTATGCGCTTGTTTGCATGATTGAAAATGTTTTTGCCCTTGTTTTCCTCTTTTTTTTCTTGGTGAACAGAGTTCTCTAACAAAAAAACGGCCGTTTTTTTTTTTAAATCACCGTAAAAAATGCCGAAAAATACGGACCGTATTTTACGAAAACCGTAATTTTGAACCTTGGCATGGGCTAATGGGGCTGAATGAACGCATGGGCTAATGGGGCTGAATGAACGCATGGGCTAATGGGGCTGAATGAACGCATGGGCCAATGGGGGTGAATGAACGCATGGGCTAATGGGGCTGAATGAACGCATGGGCTAATGGGGCTGAATGAACGCATGGGCTAATTGGGCTGAATGAACGCATGGGCTAATTGGGCTGAATGAACGCATGGGCTAATGGGGCTGAATGAACGCATGGGCTAATGGGGCTGAATGAACGCATGGGCTAATGGGGCTGAACGCATGTGTTCAATGAGAGGGTGAGCGAAAGCAATGAATGCATGTGGAGCAAGAGAGAGGGCAACATAAAAATTTTGAGCCGAGTTCTAAATCGGCTCGTATTTTCCACTCGTTTCATGCGAGTTTCGAGGATCTCTTTTACTGAAAAGGCTCGGTCAATCCAATTGGAGTCAAACTCGCCGAGCTAAAAGAAAATCGTAAAAACTCTTTTGTAATGCCAAGTTTAAAACCCGCATAATCTTAGCAAAACTAGTGGAGAATGTTGGGCGGGCTCAAGATTGGCAGTACAGATTTCAAGCTATCATATTGTTGGCTCGTTATATCCATGCGCTATTCAGACCCAGACATTCTTTCCATAGCGTAGAGCGTCTCTCACTTTCTCCTAACATCTCAATATACACTTCAGATCTGATCTTCCATTTCTTAAGCGTAAAGACCCAGTCTCAGGTCTTAACGTTTCCGCATACGCGAGTACCATGCGCGGGTAGTAGCGATTGAAAGGGAACATTAGATAGAGTTGAGAACAAGACATGGCCACGGATAGTTGGTCATTCATACTCCTCGATGGGGCGCTCTAAGGTGCGTGCGGGTAGAGGAGGGGGAGGGGTGGAGCACCTTCCACTTACAGGACTTGACCGAAAAAGCTTGTGCGAGTTTAACTCCAGTCGCCTTCCTTTGCCCTCAGGCTTCGCAAAACGAATTTAGTAAATTTCGAGTCGTGTTTTCCATGTTCAAAGGATACATGGTTGCAAACAAGTCCATGATAGCTAATGATGTGCCAGCGAGTAACACGCAAGCACGCAAGCATTTGCTAACTCATTTTCATGGGCAGCAAGCACTCATGCAACTACCGAGCCCCTCTCCTTGAGACCAAGCCTTTCCTTGTGCCGTGCCTTTTTTGTGCGGCCGGCGGACCTCTGACCTTGGTGCCGAGTTTGGATTGGCCGCGGGGGCGCACGGAGACGTTGACATGGCAGCGCATGGAGCCCCCCGCCATGTTGCCGTTGCCCACCCCCACGTACCGCACCTGATGGCATGCAGGGGAGAGGAGAGCACACACGGCAGCAACGTTGCATGGGTGCATGGTTGCATGGATGTATGGAGCATGAGTGGTTGCATTAGAATAAGAGAAGCTAACTGACTGGAAACACAGGCCTCAATGGACAATCGTTTGACCACATGGCAGGGCACAAGACACAGGGGACAGATCACAGGGGATAGGGAAGGAAAGGACACATGAAACAAGGGCACATGGCACACAGCATACAGCACAAAGCACCGAGCATGGTACCAGTCTGTGCGGCTGGGCGGCATACTGAGCTGCGTCTGCCCCAATGGCACGGGCAGAGATAGAGGTAAAGCGGGTACACCACCATCCCACGTGCAAGTTACACTGTGACACCATGGGTTGTGTTGCCATGCCTGGTACACCTCACCCCACCTCACCTCACCTCACCTCACCGCATCTCGCCATCATCCCATCAGAGACCAGCAAGCAGAGCCTCACCTGGCTGCCATCCCCCCCGTGCAGCGACTTCCCCGCATCTTCCTCCAAGTAGGCGTCACTCCAAAGCGCCGCCGTCCACCGCCCGCCTCGACGGGCATGTCGACGTCTCTAAGGGCGCGTTCGTTCCGTCAAATTGGATTGGACAAAGTTCATGTTTTGGGGCGAATATTTTTTTTGAACCTAAGTCGAATGGAATTCGACTTTCCTTGTAGCGAAGATCGAGAATTCCGGGAATAACACTGCGAAGATGCAATCACACAAGCAAGGTCGAACACCAGAATTCGAACCTTTATGTTAACCGGTGCATGCTCGCCAACTCAAAAATAATGCCACTTCAAGTTTCGCAATGTTGTCGTCAATTTCGCATGTGTTTGTATGTGCCGAAAACACACCCGCTCACATCAACGTGCGCACGCACGTTCACAACGCCAATCGAGTCAAGTTCACTTTTCAAGTTCGAACTTTCATAAGCCCTAAAATTGGCTATGTTCGTCACACGCTCTCCGCGAAATTCGCGAAAAAGGTAACCATCTAAAGTTCGAACTTGGCAACAGAACGAACGCGCCCTAAGCGCCCGCCTGCCCTCTCAGCACTGTGCTCTCTGCTCAACCCTGTCCCTGTCCCACATTCTCCTGCGCCTCTCCTGTGCCACTACATGCCACGTGCTACCCCTACAACGCGCATAGCATGGGGCTCTTGGGCAGGTCGCACCTGGCAGCCCTTGGGCAGGTAGCACCTGGTAGCCCTTGGGCAGGTCGGGGTAGAAGTACTGCTTGGGGTCGAACTTGCTCCTCAGCGCCACGCGCCACTGCGGCGCCAGCGCCAGCCGCACAGCCGCCTCCACCACGCGCGCGTTCAGCACAGGCAGCGCGCCTGGCTGCCCCATGCATGTGGGGCACACGTGCTCGTTGGGCAACGCGCCGTACTTCGCCGCGCACCTGCAGAACGCCTGCCAGCGGCGGATCGAGGGGCGGAGAGTGGGAGAATGGGCGGGATGAGTGGCGAGTGCTGCCTCGTGGCGGGGGGACGAGGCGCAGACGAGGTGCACATGAGGCGCGGAGGGCGCAGTGTGCGATGAAGGCGAGCGGCCGCGGTAGCAGGCGCGGAGCTGCGCGACTGCTGGCTTAAACAGTTCCCCACCCCGGTAGCGCACCCCACCGATCCACCGCGCCTTGCATGAGGCGCCACGCACCTTGGTCGGCGTGTTCAGCTGCACGGGCGTCTCGATGCCGATCACCGCCTCAAACTCCCCCTCACTGCGCGCCGAGCCTTCCGCCGTCTGCGCCCCCGCCACCGACACCGCGTGCGCGCGAGCTCTCTCCCCATGGGGGCGCTGCGCTCTCGCCGCGGAACTCGACAAGCTGCAGGGCGTGGCGGCCGTGCGCGCGTCGACGCGCGGAAGGTGGGCCGAGCGCGCCGAAGACGGACAGCATGGAGGAGAAACCGGGGGGCAACGGACGGCCGGAGCGGCTGCGACGGACGCGGTGAGCCGCGCAGATAGCGACGAGAGGGACATTGTCGGCCCGGCTGCACACGTGGCAGACGGCATGGCGAATGCGGCTTTCCGCGCGGATGGTGCAAGGACGGCGCAGGCTTCCAGCGCGCGGAGAATGGCGGGCGAACGACGCGGAAAGCAGCGGGCAAGCATGGAGGTGGAGGGTTTCAGCGGGTGAGGCTGGGATTGGCAGGGTGACCAAGGGGGAATCGAGAGGCATGTGGTGTCTATGTAAATCCCCGTTTAGTGGACCCCTGTTTCTAACAGGCACAAAGCTTTTTTCAAATGATGGAATTCCACACTAGCTATGATGTTCCAATTTCCTCTTGTGATCCTATATGAACATTTCCATTTCTTTGTTTTATTCGCGTTTGTCTTTTTATATTAACTCTCATATTGGTCATGCAACCACCAATCAACAACTCTTAGACCTGCAAATAATCAAACCTGTGTTGGAAACAATTAATTCTAAGCGCCTCTGTCGTGTCGAAACACCAAGTCAGAAGCGAAGCAAAACATAACGAAGCACTGGCGAGTCAACCCTCGGAGGTTGAAGTAACTGTTGGAGGTTACGCGAAAGTCAAAGGTCAGCAACCTTTGACCTGACAAGTACAGCGCGACAGTTAAGGACATACAACTGACTCGTTACAGAGCAGTTGCCCGAGTCGTCACTATATCGAACCGCAACAGCAACAGTAAAGTAGTTATAACTGTACCCCTTCATATTCCTGGTACTTGTTGGGCTGAGACAGCCCTTAGGATCTTTTGCAAGGGTAAACTCTGGGTAGAGATGATGTAATAGCGGAAGCGTTTAATGAAGAGATTTGAACCACCTTGCGCTGGTATGTGAGGGCAAAGTAAGTTGATTAAAACAAAGAGATACAAGCATTTATATAAGAGTACAAGGAATATGAAGACACAGTTGTAACTGCTTTACTGTTTGCTGTTGCGATTCGATACAGTGACGACTCGGGCAACCGCTCTGTAGCGAGTCAGTTGTGTGTCCTTGCTGTCGCGCTGTATTTGTCAGGTCAAAGGTCGCTGACCTTTGACTTTCGCGTAACCTCCAACAGTTACTTTCAACCTCCGAGGGTTGACTCGCCGGTGCTTCGGTATGCTTTGTTTCGCTTGTGCCATAGTGTTTCGACACGACAGAGGCGCTTAGGATTCATTGTTTCCAACAGTACTCTTATATAATGCTTGTATCCCTTTGCTTTAATCAATCAATTTTGCCCTCACAAACCAGCGCAAGGTGGTTCAACCTCTTCATTAAACGCTTCCGCTATTACATTGTTCCTACCCAGAGTTCACCCCTGCAAAGATCCTAAGGGCAGATCCTAAGACCCAAAGTTCCTTTCTAGTATGCATTACCATCAGCTGTTGTTTCCCCCCCCCTTCCCCAATTCCAACCCTCCCCACGTCTGGTCGCCGGCCTGTCGCGAAAGATCTCCAGCCCGAGATACTTCTGCACCGGCGAGATCTCGCGCAGCTCGAAGGCGGCCTCCAGCAGCTCCTTCAGCATCGCAGTGCTGCTGCTAGCGGCGAGCAGGTCGTCGACGTAGACCAGCACCCAGCAGGCCACATTGTCAGCGCCGACCTTGAAGTACAGTGCCTCGTCCACCCGGCGCCGACCAACACGTCGTTGAGAGCCTTGTACCATAGCAGCGGCGACTGCTTCAGCCCGTAGAGGCTCTTCAGCAGCTTGCACACCCGACCGGACCCGTCGTCGAAGTAGTCCGGCTGGTACATGTACAGCACCCGGTCGAGCTTGCTCTGTAGGAAGGCGTTCTTCATGTCGAGCTGCATCAGGTTGAGGTCGAGGACGGCGACGATGCTGAGGAAGAACCCCGGCGTGACGTAGCTGCTCACCGGTGCGTACGTCTCGTCGTAGTCGGTGCCATACACCTGCGTGAAGCCCTTCACGACCAACCTCGCCTTCTCGTGCTCGACGGTGTCGTCGATGTGGTACTTCGTCGTTAGCACCCACCGGTTCTTCATGATGTTCAACCCAGGTGGGGCTCGACCAGCCCCTAGGTTCCCATGCTGATGAGGCTGCGGATCTCCTCCGCCATGGCGGTCTTCACTGCCTGGCCCTTCCAGCTCGCCAACGCCTCCTTCACCGTCATCGTCGAGATGTCCCAGCGAGGCTCGGGGTCGGCGTGCATGTCGGGGTCGAGCTCCGGCAGGTCTTCATCCTCCTCGGCGTCGTCGTACAGCAGGTCGTCATCCTCGTCGACCACGTCATACACCGTGGTGAAGGCTGCCAGGACGAAGAACCCCACGTCATACACCGTAGTTGTCGGCGTGATGAACACCACGTTCAGCGTGGTGACCACCGTCCGCATCTCCCGCTCTGCCATGCCGTTCTGCTGCGGAGTGTACGGGCAGGTGAGGTCGTGGAGGATCCCCTTGCCGTCCACGAGGGCGGTGAAGTCCTTTCCGAGGAACTCCCCTCCCCGGTCAGAACGTAGCATCAGCACCGACTTCTTGGTCTGTCGCTCCGCCATCACCAGCCACTGCTCGAACTCCCGCAGCACGTCGGACTTCTTGGCGACCGGCCTCACCCACACGTAGCGGGTCTTGCGGTCCTTCAGCAGCAGGAAGTACAGGCTGCCATCCTTGGCAGCCACCCGGAATGGCCCGCACAGGTCGATGTGCATGACAGCCAGCACGTCATCGGCGTCGAAGCCCTGATCAGGGAAGGTGTGCCACGCCAGCTTCCTATCGACACACGAGACACACGGTGAGTCGGTGCCCGACGTTGACTTGAGGTCCAGCCCAATGGCGACCTCGTGCTTCGCCGAGCTCCGTATGGTGTCCATGCCAACGTGTGCAAGCCGAGCATGCAGCCTGTCCGGCGTCGACTTCGTCGCCGAGACGATCGCCCGCAGAACGACGACCTCCGTCTTGTTGAGCAGGGACGCAGGTCGGTGCAGAGGAATCGCCCGGTGTAGGACGCCCAACCAAGGACGTCTCCCGCCGCCGAGACGAGCAACATCCCGTCGCCGTCCTCCTGCAGCTTCAGGCCGCTCTCCTTTAGCTGGCCGGCTGAAAGCAGGTTCGCCCGCACACTGGGGACGTAGAATACGTCGCAGATGAGCACCTGCTTCCCGGCCTCCCCTTGCAGGGCGACAGTGCCGCGACCCTGGACGTCCTGCAGCGCCCCATTGAAGCCGCGCACGTGCTTGACGTCGCCACTCGACCCCAAGTCGACAAAGGCGTCCTTCGTCCCCATCAGGTGGTGCGAGCAGCCGCTATCGAGTAGAACCACCGCCGGATTCGCCTGCACAGCTGCCGCCACCGCCTGGAAGTCCTCGCCAGCCTCCGGTGCCAGCGAGACGGTCGGCTCCATGACGCCGACCAGAGAGCACAACGCCGTCTTGTCATCCCGCCCCTTGCCGCCAGCCGAGGAGTCGGCGTCCTTCGCCGAGGTCGACGACTTGGTCGACTGCTTCTCCTTGCGCGGCTTGTTTCCTCCTCGACGAGGACGACGACTGCCAGACCTCCCACGGCCTCCCTTGGCATTGTCGTCGTCAGAGTCGCTGCGCTCGGGGCATTCGAAGGAGAGGTGACGTCGACTTCCTCCTCCTCGACCGCTGTCCTTGGTCGACTTCTTCTTGTCGACTTCCTTGGCCGCCTTCGAGCCACTACTACCACCGCCACCAGACTGCCCACGTTGCCCCAGTCGACCACCTTGCTTCGCCGGGGCGACGTAGTTCACCTGCGCCAGGAGCTCCTGGGACCGCTCAGCCTCCTGCATCGCCTCATCCTGCAGGATGTACGAGGTCAACATGTCATCGTTAAGCGTCGCCCGCGTGCTCGGCGCCATCTACAACCACTTCAGCAGGTTGTAGCTGCTCGGGAGTCCCTCCATGACAGGGGTGACGTACGACGATGTCGAGTACTGCGCGCCGACCATCCTAATGGTGGCGAGAATTCGCCGAGCTCGGTTGCAGTAGTCCGTCGCTGTCTCCTGCTCGCGCAGGTGCGTCAGCTGCCCTTCAAGCTGGGCGATGAACAAGTCGTAGGTGAATTGGTAAGTCGACTCGATGAAGTGCCACGCCCGGTGGCCGGCGTCGAGGTGCTCCCTGCACGACTTCAGGGCGATTCACGCGCCCGGCAAGCAGCACCGCAATATTACCATGAAGGTCAGCAGCTGCACGGCGCGAAACTCCGCACACTAGTCGGGGTCCTCCGGCGTCGCCACGGTACCGCGAGCAAAGTTGATCAGCCCGGCCATCTCCAGCTGGGGCTCGATGGCTTCCTTCCAGGTGAGAATGTCGGGTCGACCGACCAGCAGGGGAGTGACCGAGATCCTATCCGGCATAAACTTGAAGTAGCCGTAGCTCGGTGCAATCTCGCCTGCTGACACCTGGGTCGCTAACATTGGCGGAGATCTACCCACTTCGTCGACCTCCGACATCACCCTGCGAGGAGCCTGCAGCCGCCGACGACCGCATCCCTCGCGCCTGAACGCCGCCGAATTCATCGGCGTGAATCCTACCACGCTGCCTCGACGTGCCTCCTGGTTGGAGATGATGAGGAAAGTGACTACGAGGAGTGTGCCTTCGCATTCTTGTCCCCGGTGTAGATGCCAGGGGAACCAGCAACTCTCAAGGAAGTCTTGTAGAGTAGTGATGCTGAGGAGTGGAAGAAGGCCATGGAGAGTGAGCTGAAGAGCATTGAGGAGAATGACACGTGGGAATTGTGGAGCTACCGGAAGGGCGTAAGGCGATAACGTCCAAGTGGCTCTTCAAGATCAAGTCGGATGCCGACGGCAAGATCGAGCGTTACAAGTCTAGGCTTGTGGCCAAGGGGTACCAGCAGAAGGACAAGGTGGAATTGAAGGAGCTGTTTGCTCCTATGGTGAAGCCGACGACGCTGCGGACCCTATTTGCGGGAGCTGCCATCAAAGGATGGGTGGTGAAGCAAATGGACGTGACAACCACGTTCTTCAATGGCATTCTCGAAAAAAGAGATTTTCTCGGTGCAGCCAGAGGGGTTCGAAGATTGTAGGGGCAGAGTTTTGAAGCTGAAGAAAGCCCTCCATGGGC